CCCTCCCCACAACAGACACCCTGTGAGGCGGGGGGGGATGAGAGAGCTCTCTCGAGAACTGCCCTTGAGAGAACAGCTCTGAGAGAACTTGTGACTGACCCAAGGCCACACCAGCAGCTGCATGTGGAGGAGTGGGGAATCAAACCCGGTTCTCCCAGATTAGAGTCCGTGCTCTTAACCACTACACCAGACTGGAAGGAAGATTTGCTCTGATTATTCCTGTTCAGGAGCAGCAACATAATATTTAATCATATATTTCATCACCCTTTACAGCTCTTCCTTTGGGAGGACCAACACAGCAGTAACACCGGAGAAGTCAGAAGGTTAAGTACTGGAGGAAGTCTCAAAAAAGAAAAGCCTGTGTTTCATTTATATCTCAAATGGCAGCCGAGTGCAGGCCTTTGTGTTTGGGGCCTCGCTCTCCTTTAGTGGCTGCTGCGCCCTGCCCCACATCAGTGCCGTCCTCAGAGGTACCAGCCCCTGGGGATGGCAGGAAGTGTAGTAGTCTAGGCTGAAGGTGAACACCCCGTCCCTGTGCCAAAAATCTCAACTTGTGTGTGCCCAATCAAGCCAAACTCACTTCCAGCCTCTTAAGCTCCAAAGCATCAATAAAGAAACAGACTGACATTGTTCATTATGGGAAGCCTTTTTGACTCAGGAGAGGGAGAGGTCCTGGACGTAACGGGGAACTGTGAAACTGAAAACTCTACAAGGGTTTGGGTTGCCATCAATGTTCCCTCTAAGCTGTGGAGTTAGTGTGAGCCAGCTCACAGTTTTTTAGCCTCTGGCTCACACATTTGTGTCTTAGCTCAGGAAGGATGGCTCCAGGGCAAACTAACTTATGCAGTAGCCAAATCGCTGGCTCACAGCTTTCATGCCAGGAGCTCACAAAGTAGAATTTTTGCTCACAAGATTCCACAGCTTAGAGGGAACATTGGTCAGGAGGTGCCCTCTGTAATCAATGCCAGCGCCCAACAAGCACGGCTGTCTCCCATCCATCACAGAACTGGGCAACCACGTCATGAGCTCGTGAATCGGAAATCTGGATCAGACTTATGACCTTCGCGCCACAAAGAGACGAGAGAAAGACAAGCCACAGTCTTAAAAGCTCCTCCTAGGAACCATGGCATCTGCTGCGGCCACTTCCCAAATTTCAGCCGTGAATCCCTAACCCTGGCCACGTTGGACATCACGCATGCATTAAATAGTCAACCTCTATTTTGAGAAAGCCCTGCATTGCTAGAGTTCCAGAGGACAGACATGTGGCATTTTGGACGTTAACAATATACTCTGTTTTAGCACACTGCAGAGTCAAGCCCTGATCTAGACATGCACATTTGTCTCCTGCAAGAACCTGTGAAATGGCCTCATTCTGAACCAAGACCATCCAAGCCAGCACTGTTGACTCTTCTGGCCGGCAAAACCTCTCCAGGTTCCTCAAGCTCCTGCCTAAGGGAATGGCCAAGGACCTTTTTACCGAGAGGGGCCAAGGACTGAACCAGGGACCTCCTGCGTGCAAAGTAGTCCCTCTGCACCACAAGGAGACTCTGTAACGCCAGCGACCTTCAGCGACCTGCGTGTGCGGATGAGCCACTGCAGATCTACCACAAAAGTCAAAACTTTTCCACGTCCCCTCACGTACGAATGGGACAGTTTACATATTCAATGACAACGGGTCACTCGACAATATATATTAACCACGAATGATGCACAAGCACATAGCTCATGTTATCTATCTTCTGAGAAAGCATGAACAGAAGGGCCCGCGTTGTGTGGGGCTGCCAGCAATGGGTTGGGAAATTTCTGGAGATTTGGGGGCGGAGCCTGAAAAGGGTAGGGTTTGGGAAGGGGAGGGACCTCAACGGGGTGTAACGCCACGGCATCCACCCTCCGAAGCAGCCATTTTCTCCAGGGGAGCTGCTCTCTGGAGATCAGTTGTAATTCTGGGAGGTCTCCAGGCCCCACTTAGAGGTTGGCCACCGTAGCCAATGTATTACAGATATTTCTAACTTCCGTAAGAAAACAGGGACTAGGGCCAGAGCAGTGTGGGAGTCACACGCGTGTAAGGCTCAACTCCTGGAACATGTTCAGTTACAGGCTCCCAGGCTGAAAGTCAGGGAAGGGGAACCCTGCATGAGAGAAAAGGACCGCCCACAACAACAGTCATCAGTCATCAATGGTGCGACCTCATCTGGAATACTGTGTGCAGTTCTGGTCACCACACCTCAAAAAGGATATTACAGCTTTGGAAAAAGTGCAGAAAAGGGCAACTCGAATGATAAAAGGCTTGGAACACTTTCCCTATGAGGAAAGGTTAAAGCGCTTGGGGCTCTTTAGCTTGGAGAAACGACGACTGAGGGGTGACATGATTGAGGTTTATAAGATTATGCATGGGAAAGAGCAGGTAGAGAAAGAGGTACTTTTCTCCCTTTCTCACAATACAAGAAGTTGTGGGCACTCCATGAAATTGCTGAGCGGTCGGGTTAGAACAGATAAAAGGAAGTACTTCTTCACCCAAAGAGTGATGAGCACATGGAATTCACAGCCACAGGAGGTGGTGGCGGCTACAAGCATGGATGGCTTCAAGAGGGAACTGGATCAACATATGGAGCAGAGGTCCATCAGTGGCTATTAGCCACAAGGTATAGATAGGGACTCTGGGGCAAGGGATGCTCTGCATTATTGGTGCTTGGGGGGGGGCAACAGTGGGAGGGCTTCTAATGTCCTGGCTCCACTGGTGGACCTCCTGATGGCACTGGTATTTCTGGCCACTGTGTGACACAGAGTGTTGGACTGGATGGGCCTTTGGCCTGATCCAACATTGGCATCTCTTATGTTCTTATGTTATCACTGGACCAGATGGACAGGTATCTAAGTTAGTACGAGGCAGCTTCGTATCTTGACACGTTTTATAGGAGGCGGAGATCGCCGTGTACGACGTGTGTCCGTGCTGCAGCAGTGCCTGGAACTACTAAAAAAAGAATGTTGACATGCATGCTGTAATGAAGACAAGATGCACTCGACCTGTGGGGTTAATAGATGGAATCAGCAAACCACACGAGACGCCCGTGGCAACAAGCGGCAATCCGCCCTCCCCCTCCCCTGGTTACCTGCGGCACAATGACCCTGCGTGTGAGTCTAGGTGGCGGCTGGGTGGTGGTGGCGGCAGAAGAGGAAATGGCGGAGGGAGACAGAGGAGCGCACGGAGAGAATGGTTTTGCCTCGACAGTCTTTGAAAGGAAAGAAAAGATGGTCAGCGAAGAGCAGCGATCGTCCACGTCCTGGCCGGGATGCCCCTCGCGAGCGAGAACGCCTCTTCCCGAGACTCGATGCAACCTCCGCAAACAAACAGCCATGCAAAAGCGGGCATGCCAAGGTGTGAAGCTCGTCTGTCCTACGTCGGCACGACAGGCCCAAGGCATTTCGAACAGGGGGGGGGGGGACACGACAAGGCCTACAGCGTGGCTCCCCTTTTTAAAATCTATTTGTTTATCATTTTACCGTTTCACTTTTATCTCGTTTAGGATCCCTCTCTAGCGAGCTCTCGGCAAGAACCAACTGTGCAGGAGGGACGTGACGGACGAGGAAGCAGCCGCTGAAACCATCGCTTTTGGTTCTACACGCAGATTCCTTTGCTTGCAGGTCTCATGGTCAGGACCTTTTTGGAGTGTGGTAGGATCTCCCCTCCCCAGAAGAACAGAAGCTGATGAACTCCTTTCCGGTTCAGGCCCCCATCCCCTACAATACTTCTAAGTACGCCCCGGCAGTCAGTGCTTGCTGCCAGTGTTCCCTCTAAGCTGAGTTAGAGTGAGCCAGCTCACAGTTTTTTAGCCCCTGGCTCACACATTTTTGTCTCCGCTCAGGAAGGAGGGCTCCAGAGCAAACTAATTTATGCAGTAGCCAAATCACTGGCTCACCACTTTAATGCCAGTAGCTCACAAAGTAGGATTTTTGCTCAAAAGACTCGACAGCTTAGAGGGAACATTGCGTTGCTGCCCCAACCCCACTGCGGAGGGGCTGTGGTGCTGCTTAACTTGCAGAAGGTCCCGGGTTCAACCCCCGGCACGTCTCGCTAAAGGGATCTGGCAACAGGTGCTGTGAGTAGGGCTGCCAGCTCAACCACACCCCCGCTGCCAGGCCCCGCCCTCTTGGCCCTGATTAGCTGGCCGGTGGGGGGGTGGGGCTTACCAAGAGCGGGAAAAAGGCCCAGGCTACATCACCGGCAGTGGGCCAACACCAACTGACATCATCAGGTCAGCACTGTCAAGGCGATGCTCTGGTATTTGGGCAAAAACTCTATGGTAGAAACCATTTTTAGCATTAGAGTTTTTGGCCACCTACCAGAGGATGGCTGCGACATCACAGAGTGATGACGTCATAGAACCATAGAATGTTAGAGCTGGAAGGGACCTTGCAGGTCACCAGTGTTCCCTCTAAGCTGAGTTAGTGTGAGTTAGCTCGCAGTTTTTTAGCCTCCGGCTCACACATTTTTGTCTTAGCTCAGGGAGGATGGGGCTCCAGAGCAAACTAATTTTATGCAGCAGCCAAATCGCTCGCTCGCAACTTTAATGCCGGTAGCTCACAAAGTAGAATGTTTGCTCACAGGACTCCACAGCTTACAGGGAGCATTGCTCACAGGCAGTGTTCCCTCTAAGCTGAGTCAGTGTGAGCTAGCTCGCAGTTTTTTTTAGCCTCCGGCTCACACATTTTTCTCTTAGCTCAGGAAGGAGGGCTCCAGAGCAAACTGATTTATGCAGGAGCCAAATCGCTCGCTCACAACTTTAATGCCAGTAGCTCACACAGTAGGATTTTTGCTCACAGGACTCCACAGCTTAGAGGGAACATTGCAGGTCACTTCTCGTATACAGGAAGGACCTGGGTAGGAAAGGCCTCCGCCTGAGACCCAGGAGAGCGGCTGCCAGTCTGACCTGGATGGACTGACGGGGGGCCTGATTCAGGATAAGGCAGCTTCACGCATTTGTGTGCTCACCGACCTCTTACAACGACAGTTTACATTTACTGTCTTGCTGTTCACACAGGATCGGCAGGCGTCCTGCAGCTCAGGCCCGGAGGCGGGCTGGTAGAATGCGGGGCTGGTAGTATGAGGGGGCAGAAAATGGATTTGTCAGCAGAAGAACCTGCCTGCATCTGATGTTCCACGCCCACAGCAAATGGGGAACGCCCTCAGAGGAGGCATCACACAGCCTGGTCCCTCTCGGCCCCCATGTCTCAGTTCGGTGAGACCTTCCCCCTTGGAGGGCCTGAGGCGTCTAAGACTGTCAGACACGAGGCCGGAAACAGTCAGGCCCGGCAAGGTTACGGCGCCAACGGCTTTGCTCGCTTCTTCCCAGCCTGCACGGAGATCCCCAGAGCAGGCAGGTCTTGATGAAGACACGGCCTTTGCGAGAGGGAGCCTCTCTACAGACCAGGGGCGGCCAAACTGCCGTCTGACTTAATGTTCATGAAGAGCAAATTTGCATATCTTCCAATAAAAATGTGTGTGTGATATCTGTTTGTGTCTTGCAGCTCTCAGACATCTGACGTTTCTTCTGTGTGGCTGTGACGTTAAATAACAACAATGGGAACAGCAATATAGTAACAATGAGAGACAAAAAAATTGCTGCAGACGTGCACGCAGAAGTAAATTACACAAAAGTAAATAAGATTCTGGTACTGATAAATTTCATGATGTATAAGACGAACGTCTCGAGTTGAAGCTCGTTTCGAAGTGCCTTTCTCAAATGAGTCTCAATTTTACATCCATGTGCAATAAAGTCGACAATGGAGTCTTGAATCAAAACGGTCTTCTCCCCAAAGCTATATAGCTACAAGGATTACATTTCAATTGAAAAGGAGCTGCGGTGGCTCAAGTGGTTAAGACGCTGAACTGCGGGCTGTGGAAGGTCGGTAGTTCAGCAGTTCGAGACCCGAGTGTGCCGCATGACGGAGTGAGCTCCCGTCTCTAGTTCCAGCTCCTGCCAACCTAGCAGTTCGAAAGCAAGAAATTGCAAGTAGATCAATAGGTACCACTTCGGTGGGAAGGTAACAGTGTTCCATGCACCTTGGTGTTTAGTCATGCCGGCCACATGACCACGGAAACGTCTTCGGACAGCGCTGGCTCTTCGGCTTTGAAACGGAGATGAGCACCGCAACCCTAGAGTCGGACTCGACTGGCTTTCGAGCAAGGGAACCTTTACCTTTACCCTTAATTTACTTCTGTGTGCACGTCTGCAGCAATTTTTTGTCTCTCATGGCTGTGACGTTAAGCCAGTTTGGCCCCCCCTGTCATAGACCTCTGTTTCCTGCATTTGGGTCTGTGGTACGAGCCCCGTACCTTGTTCAAAAGCTGAGGGCAAGGATGAAGAGTCCTTGAGACAGGAGGGAACTGTTCCCCGCAGGGCCTGAGGAGAGCCACTGTTTAGCAAACCAGGCCCAGGATTCGGGGTCTGACTCACACAGGGCTAAATGCCTATTTCCATCCAGAATAATCATCGTTGGGTTAATTCTTGGAAACCTGCAACCCAACAGGCTCTGGGGGGACAATAGTTTGTCATCAGCCACTACCAAACAAGGATAAGCACTATGAGACTCATCAGCTGCAATCAGCTTCCACGGAGATCAGTGCAGCCACAACCCACACGCACACACACGCCGTGAGACTGCCGGACCACCACACACGCATGCAGGGAAAGTACCTTCGTGGCCCTGCTCGGATTCTCCTTCCATTCACCTTGCTTGTCACGGCCCACGGCCCTTTTCTTGGGACCCTCTCCCTGCTGCTGAGCTAGCTTGCTCTCCTCACAGGTGTGGAGGGGTCTCTTTGGCCAGCTAACACACTGCTCCGGTCCGGGGGCCCTCGCCCGAGAGAGGCCAGGCACACCATGGCCGTCTCCGTCGGCTGCCATCCCGTCCTCGCCGGCAACACTCCGAGTGGCCCCTCGGCTCCTCTGGGCCTTGTCTCGCTGGCCCAGGACGTCGCTGAGCTCCGAGAGGAAACTGTCGGGGCTGCCGACCGCAGAGCAAGGGGAGCCACTGTGGCTGACGGGGGGAGAAGGGGAGCTAACCGACTTCTCTTCACTTTGCAGAGGGCTCAGGCTGAGGTTGTGGGCAGACGACGGAGGCCGGGAAGGGCAAGAAGGCGGTGGGGAAATGACGCCCCCGGAACTGGGGGAGCTGGAGGAGTGGGACGGGTGGGGGCCGAAGGAAGGCGACGACAGGCCGTAGTGAGACAGGGAAGTATTGGGAAGGGGTGGCAAGGGGGGGGTGGCGGCCGGCGTGCTGCTGCGCGACACCCCCAGGGTCAGGGAGATCCACTCCGAGGTGATGGCCTGCAGCTCGGGAGACAGGGCCGGGCGGGTGAAAGGCAAAGGCGGAGGAGTTGGCGTGAAAAGCAGCTCAGAGCTGGGAGACTTCGGGGAAAGAAAATGGGGGGGGGGGGGGGGGGGGGAGAAATAAGCAGAAAAGGAAGGCAAAGAAAGAATGAATAAATAAATAAATAAATAAACAAATGGCATATGAGCAAGAGGATGGGGGATTTTTTTTTTAAAAAGCCATTTCACGGCAAAGCACGGAAAAGCTGAGGGAGAGTGCTGGTTTGGAAGCGTGAAGCTGGTTATTTCCTGAAGCACTGCAGAACGGGACACAAATCCTGCAGAGCTGCTGAGTTCTATGCAAGTTCTCACGGCGAAAAAAGGTGGGGGGGACCAGATGAAACCACAACCTGGGCCCTGGGGTGCGCAGGGGCCCGTGGGGGCCCCCCCCCCCCCCCCCCCCGTTTCCCTGTTCAGAAGACCCTGCGACGGCCGCCACACACCCACACCTTGCAGTAGGCTGGAATTTACTCAAAACCATCACCGTGATTCTCGGGGGGGGAGGGAAACTAGGCGTGAGGGAGGCAGATGTTTAAAGAACAACTCGAGGGGCTGCTGACTCCCTGTAAAGCAAGAACACTGGTCTGAAATGCAGCTTGAGACGCTGAGCCCTTCCCCTGCCCTGCCCGGCAACCCAAGAGTTTTTTTAAAAAGCCATTATTTTGCCAAAGGAGCTGGGGCCAGAAGTCACCCCCCACCCCCCAGCACGCCAGCACAGCGGCTGGAACAGTGTTCCCTCTAAGCTGAGTTAGTGTGAGCCAGCTCACAGTTTTTTAGCCTCGGGCTCACACATTTTTGCCTTAGCTCCGGAAGGAGGGCTCCAGAGCAAACTAATTTATGCAGCAGCCAAATCGCTCGCTCACAACTTTAATGCCAGCAGCTCCCAAAGTAGATTTTTTGCTCACAAGACTCCACAGCTTACAGGGAGCATTGCTCACAGGCAGTGTTCCCTCTAAGCTGAGTTAGTGTGAGTCAGCTCACAGTTTTTTAGCCTCCGGCTCACACATTTTTGTTTCAGCTCAGGAAGGATGGCTCCAGAGCAAACTAATTTATGCAGCAGCCAAATCGCTCGCTCACAACTTTAATGCCAGCAGCTCCCAAAGTAGACTATTTGCTCACAAGACTCCACGGCTTACAGGGAGCATTGCTCACAGGCAGTGTTCCCTCTAAGCTGAGTTAGTGTGAGCTAGCTCACAGTTTTATAGCCTCCGGCTCACACATTTTTGTCTTCGCTCAAGAAGGATGGCTCCAGAGCAAACTGATTTCTGCAGGAGCCAAATCGCTCGCTCACAACTTTAATGCCAGTAGCTCACACAGTAGAATTTTTGCTCACAAGACTCCACAGCTTAGAGGGAGCACTGGCACTGGAAAAAGGCGACTTGAGTGGAAACACCCGGAGAGCCCTTTCCTCCCACCCACCTGTCCTGGGATTTAAATGGCCTCCTGTCTCCCTGCTCTGTGAGGAACGGCTGTCATCCATCCCGCCCCAGCGGAGGTTTTCCATTGCAAAGAAAGAAGGGGGGGTGTTACATGTTCAGGGGGTCTGGTTTGTCCCTCAGGCATCTACACAACGAGCACGCAATCTTTTTCACTGTTCCGTCTGGCGCTAAGTCAAGAGTCAACAGCGCCTTCCGGATGTGATTCAACGCACGGCCAGAGTAAAGTAGAATTAAATCATTTTTTATTAAGCGCCTCCACATGCATTCAGAAGATTTCTTTACTTACAATCGAGGCTGAATAACTGGTGAAGTTCACATCTTTTGTAATCTAATTCAGTTCACTGGCTCATGGTGAAAAAGACTGCGTGCTCCCACCTCCTTTGCCGTTTAAAGAGTAGACAAAGGAACGGGAAGAGAGCTGCAAACTCAAATCCTCGCGCCTCTGAGTGCAGGAAATGACTGTTAATCAGCCAGTCACAGGTATGCTTTGGGATGTCTAACTAAAGACTTCAATTCCCAGGGGCAACTGCTCTTAAAGTTATATGGCAGTTCTACTTAACTGCAGTTAAACGCTGGCTGGGGGCAGCACAGGGGGGTTACATGTTCAGGGGGTCTGGTTTGTCCCTCAGGCATCTACACAACTCTCCTGCTGATTTTTGGGGCCTAAAAACAAGCAATGCCAGACGAGTCGCTACCCTCATCTTTGCACCCCGTTCCAAAGAGGCTCTGTGGAATACCACCGCGTGACCTCCAGAGGGGGGCGAAAGAACCCCCTCCCCACTTGCCTGCCCACACGGGCTTGGTGTGAGGAGAACTCCGTAACAGGCTGTTTGCAAAGGCCTCTTTGTCAGCTATGCTGCCATGAGTGTGGTATATGTTTCTAATTGCTGTGCATTCCTTCCCATGCGCTTAATTGCATCTTAGCTGTAACGCATATCTCTCAAGGCCACAGGAGGAGTTGGTGTGTCTAGAATCCGTGGGAAGCTTCTTACCTTCCCAGCTTCTGCAGCCGTTAGTTATCTGCCAAATGCCCGCGCGGGGGAGTCCATCTAATTGGGTAATACGTGTGTGTGTGTGCATACGAATGCCCTATATCCTATTATGCGGATAGGTAACCCGCCATTCCTAACAGTGTTCATGTTACTGCATCTATGGCTTTTCAATAAAAGTAAAACCTTCCTGGAAGCGTGTACTTCGTTGTTTTGCTGTGGGTCCTGACACTCTGGTTTAAAACAGATGAGAAGCTGGAATACCCAAAGTCCAGAAGAACAAAATTTAGAGTCCAGTGGCACCTTTAAGATCATTTTAAAGATAATTTTTCAAATTATTTGAAAAAAGTGTGCATGCACATGAAACCTCATCCCTTGAATAAACCTTTGTGGGTCTTCAAGGTGCCCGACTGGACTCTAAATTTTGCTCTACTGCTCCAGGCCAACACGGCTCCCCACCTTCGATCAATCCAAGGCACAATCCTCTCAGTGTCCCTGTAAGCTCAACGACAGACGCGTATCGTCCCAATTCAGATTGGGGCTGCATGGTGAAGGGAGAGAGGGTTAACCCACCCACCCCGGCACCACTACATGGTTTTCCCCAGTCCAAACGGGGCCCCTCATCCCTTTTATGAAAAAAGAGAGAAGTTAACCATGGGACTCTGTCTTTCTTTTTTACAGCGCTAGTAACGACACAGGGACAGCTTCTGTTGGTGGAAGCACGGGGGAGCCGAAGGGTAAAAACTAAGCTTGCCCAATCTCCAGGTAGGCAAACAAGCAATGGGAAGGCGGCCAGTAATGAGATCAACCGAACACACAAAAGCAACCTTGAAAAGTGTAAACAAAATCTGGGTTTTTTGCAAAAATATTTATAGTATTACAAGCAGGGCTCATTCCCTGCAGGAGCGCACAGGAGCGGAGCTCCGGCAGTAAAGAGCCCAGGGGGTGGGCACATGCAACAAGCCCCACCCCCTGCTCCCAGCAGCCCTCAGTCAGAGCAAGAAGCAGCCAGGTAAGTTGCAGAGCCCCCCCGGTCCAAAACAGTCCAGTGGCACCTTTAAGACCAAGTTTTATTCAGGTACAAGCTCTCCCTCCTCTGCAAGGACAGATCTGCTTGTTCCCCCCCTCCCAATAGTCCAGTGGAGCCTGAGCAGTGGGTGTTGCTTTCTGACACACTTCCGGTGATGTCAGGGGGTGTGGCGTATGCAAATAAGTTATGGTAATGAGTTATGCTAATGAGCTCCTGCACCTCTTTTTCTACGAAATGACCCGATTATAAGATAAGCTATTACGTAAAATGCAAATAAAGTGCAAAATGTGTAATTACGTACAATTACAAGTGGGACATAAACTTTGCCTGCTAAAGTGAATGGTTTTCTCTGTCCTTACAGAATAAAGGTCCCTTTAAGATCGTATTTCAGCTGGGTTTATGTCCCGCTTGTAACTGTATGTCATTGCACATTTTGTACTGTATTTGCACTTTACCTAACAGCTAATTTTTTTAGTACTATAACTATTTTTGCAAAAGGAACAGATTTTGTTTACACTTTTCAAGGTTGCTTCTGTATGTTTGGTTAACCTCCAGGAGGGAGCTGGAGGCCTCTCAGAGTCGCAACTCGTCGCCAGACTGCATACCCCGCTTATGTATTTACTTAAAACATTTATTCCACTTCTCCTGGAGAAAATGGACGCTGCGGAAGGTGGGCTGCCGGGCATTACGCCCTAACCGAGGTCCCGTCTCTAAACCCTGCCCTCCACAGGCTCCACTCTCCAGGTATTCCTGAACCTGGAGTTGGCACCCCTAGTTAAAGCTCTTTCATCCCCCTGTAAAATGGATTCTCCAGAAGCTGTGGAGTCTTGTGAGCAAAAATTCTACCTGGTGAGCGACTGGCATTAAAGTCGTGAGCAAACTATTTGGCTACTGCATAAATTAGTTTGCTCTGGAGCTGTCCTTCCTGAGCCAAGACAAAAATGTGCGAGCCAGAGGCTAAAAAAACTGTGAGCTAGCTCACCCTAGCTCAGCTTAGAGGGAACACTGCCTGTGACCGCAACCCAAACTGGGGCAGCCAACATCTGTAACTCGCCGCCAAACGAGTCTAGACTGACTCTGCACCTGACACATTCCTTCGCGGCAAAGTAAAAGCGGCATAGCCCTCGGAACACAACGAACAATTAAGTTTGGTTCATCTCAATGGGCGTGACTGATTTCAGAGCAAGGCTGTCAATGATATACCTTCCTCAGACTTCTCTGCTCGGAGATATGGAACTTCCAGTGGAAAATGTAATTGGATAAAAATGAGCAAAAGGAAAAAGGGAACAAAGACATCATTCTCTTGGCAGGAAAAGGTTACCAGCATTTTTTTTCACGTCACAGTCATTACAATAAGTGACAGAATTTTCTTTAAAGCAACCATGCCCTATAAGATCTTTATTTTTGCCCCAGGAATGAACAAGGAACAACCAGAAGCCATGCAGCAGCAGACTCCCCCCGCCCCCCCGCTGTGCTCCCCCCCCCCGGCTGTGCCCTCTGCCTGCCTTCCGACAGTTCTACCCACCGCTCTTGCAAGCCACCGCACTAGAAACGAATCCCCGCCAAGTTGCTCCCTCTGCACTCAGGGGCCCTCCCTCCCTCGGCATTTAAGAAGCAGGCAGAGAATTCTCCTGGACTGGGGCTGGAACCATAAGAAGAGGGCGAAAGGCACGGCCCCGCCTGAGTCAGAACCTGCCTCTCTGTTTTGTTTCTTTCATTTTTCCTATTGTGGCTTTCTGTGCGCGCATTTTCACCTTCCTGCCCGCCCGTCATCCCCACTGAAGAAGAAGAAGAGAAGGAGATTGGATTTATACCCCGCCCTTCACTTGGAGTCTCAGAGCGGCTGACAAACTCCTTTCCCTTCCCCTCCCCACAACAGACACCCTGTGAGGAGGGTGGGGCTGAGAGAGCTCTGACACAAACTGCTCTTTTCCAAGGACAGCTGTGCCAGAGCTTGTGACGGACCCAAGGTCACACCAGCAGGTGCAAGTGGAGGAGTGGGGAATCAAACCCGGTTCTCCCAGATTAGAGTCCGCGCACTTAACCACTACACCAAACTGGCTCTCACTGTTCGCTGAGAAAGTGCCAAAAGCCAACAGGAGCCCAGAGCCTTTGCCAGGTGAGATGGGCCACAAGGGAAAGGGGTGGCTCAGCCTCCCAAAGACTGCCTCGCAGCCCTGGCCCTTTGACTGTGCATGACCTAGCCAGGTGCACTCCGGGCAGCTCCACGGCATGGGTCTCCGGGCCCCTGATGCCGATAAAGGACCCTTTCCCTTATTCATAACTAGACCTGGAGGCCGTCAGAAGCAATGCCCAGAGCCCCACCCAGGGTCCAGCTTTACAAGGACCGCTCCTCTGCAGGCTGGCTTTGCGCTTCTGCCCGAGACGAAAGCGGCCTGCGTGGGTGACCACAGTCTATGGAGCGGGACAGATGATACAGTTTTGCAAGAGGCTGCACTTCCTTTGCTGTCCTAGCCTTTCCCAGGGTTTCCGCACAACTCAGGAGGGACACGCTGAAAGTCCAAAGCCTTCCTCACAGGCACAACCAGCCCCTGCTCTGAAGGAAGCACTACAGTGACATGCCGTTGGGACTGGCACTTATTGGACAGTAGCCACGCATCCAGCACCGATGACGGAAGACTATAATTCTGCCTCGTGGCTCAAACAGTCCTGGGACGATTTTAGAAAGGGAGGAGGCGTGCGGTTCGACAAAGGGCAAGCGCTTACCTGCTTCTCCACGTAGCCCTTTATAGGACAAGGGCGACCTCTGGTCTACCTCTTGCTACTCTTACACTGCTCCATTCCCCTTTGAGGCTGAGGGGCAGCAAAACGCAACGAGAAAACATCCTTAAGACAAATCCCCGTGACACTTTAAATCACGTCGACTGGAGCCCAGCGGCCCTTTGGAGACCAACAAGATTTCATGGTATCTGATGAAGGGATCTTTGACACACACCCCTTTGAAAGCTGACCCCCCCCCCCACGGAATCTTGCTGGTCTCTTAAGGGGCTCCTGGACTTGGATCTCGCGGTTCCCCTGCAGACCGCACGGCTGCCCTCCGGAACATTAAATCACGTGGTGACGGCCAGATCGACTCCAGACCCCGTGCTGGGCCCAAGGGCAGCTTTTTCCGACACGTGTGGACAAAAGGAGAAAAGGCTCCGTCCAGAGACGGACAGACGGCATCCGAGCCCGTGTCGAGGGAGCAAACGCTTGTGGATCTGTCCCACATTGGCCACCTATAGCAGACCCAGCTCAGCGGCCAAAGAATGGAAAAGGCCTTATCCCTTGAACCTACAGCTAGACGGTGGGACAAGGTGCCTCCTGCTTTGGCGTTAGCTGGAAAAATACGAACGCTCTGCAGGGAACGGCTTTGCTGTTGGCCAGATCTAAGGCAGGTACCTGTGGGGAGGCCGTCAACAAGGTGCCTCCTGCTTTGGCGTTAGCTGGGAAAATACGAATGCTCTGCAGAGAACGGCTTTGCTGTCGGCCAGATCTAAGGCGGGTACCTGTGGGGAGGCCGTCGTGCTGCGGCTCGGGGAGTGAGTGAGCGGCAGGTCGGTGTAATCGAGCGCGTTCTTCACCACAGGCCGCTTGAACACCTCGACGTATGTGACGGGGAAGATGCCTTGGCGGTTGGTGCCGGGGATGCGTCCTTCGTACCAGTTCTCATCTACGCGCCGAAGCAGAGTGATTCTTTCGCCCTGCAGGAAGCAGCCATTGGACAAGAAGAAGGGAGAAGAAGAAGAAGAAGAAGAAGAAGAGATTGGATTTATACCCCATGGTACAAACTCCTTTCCCTTCCCCTCCCCACAACAGACACCCTGGGAGGCAGGTGGGGCTGAGAGAACTCTGACACAAACTGCTCTTTTTCAAGGACAGTTCTTATCAGAACTACGGCTTGTCCAAGGTCATCCAGCCAGGTGCAAGTGGAGGAGTGGGGAATCAAACCCGGTTCTCCCAGATGAGAGTCCGCACACTTAACCACGACACCAAACTGTTGAAGCTCAAGATCTACAGTGAGAGACGGGCTTTCTATGCTGCCCCTCCTCAGTAAAGGCTGCTTTCAGAAGCCCTGTTTTTCCAAGCAGATATCTGCCCTTTCAGGAGCAGTCTCGGCTACTAGCCCAATCTCAGCCTCCAACGGAAGTTTAGAAAACCAGTAAGGGGCCAAAAATTAAAAAACATCAATAATTATAGACGAAAGTACATGTGTTTATTTCAAAAACAGTTGAAAACCTTGCAGGGGCCCAAGTAAAGCTTCAGGATGTTGTCAAAGTGACAAATCCACAAAAGGAACCATATATGACTTAGGTGAAGCAGGGGAACAAATTTAGAGTCCCCTTGAAGACCAACAAAGTCAACAGAAGCCCAGAGCACTACTACAGATAAGATTAGAACCCACATGCAAAAGAACCTCCTCAGGAAACCTCCTCAGGAAAACAATCCATATACAAAAGAACCTCCTCAGGAAAGCTCCTCCATTAGCATGTTCACAGCCTGGGGAACTCCAACAAGATAAGGACTCAGCCCTACCCCACCTTCCTGAGTAGATCTAAATCACCTGCCTACCATTTTTCTTCTCACCTTGACACAGATTACTCCATCTCCCTGTGTTATACCTCTGAGGATGCCAGTCACAGCTGCTGGCGAAACGTCAGGTCCTACAATGCCAAGACCACGGCCACACAGCCCGGAAAATCTACAACAGCTAATGAACTCCGGACGTGAAAGCCTTCGGCAACAAATTATTGTTATTATTATCGGCACTTTCAGTTTGCACGAATCTGCTTCAATGGGTTGGGCGGGCACTTCATCTCCATTTCTATCCAGTTACAGACTTTCTGGCTGGCTAACCCAGAGACCGTAGAACGCAAGACGAAAGCACTCAGCCTCTGGGCCTACAGTTTCCAAGGCCTTCTGGAATGTACCGGGAAGGGAAGGTGGTCATCTTGGCTGGTTCACAAAACGACGGTCAGGGGTGGAAGAATTCCCTCCAGTCCAAATTCCAAAAGAGAAGTTAACCAGCGCCTGAGCGGGATTCTAGCACCCTCTGTACAATATCACACCTTTTTGGTCCAGATTAAGTAATCTACACTAGTTGTGTTTCCCCAGTCTTTATCCTGCTGTTAGAACACACGTGACATTTCCCAAGCTGAGAAGGTCAGCAGAACCCAAGCCTTTTTCCACTCTCAAATGACCACGGAAACGTCTTCGGACAGCGCTGGCTCTTCGGCTTGGAAACGGAGATGAGCACCGCAACCCTAGAGTCGGACTCGACTGGCTTTCAAGCAAGGGAACCTTTACCTTTAAGTAATCTACACTAGTTGTGTTTCCACAGTCTTTATCCTGCTGTTAGAACACATGTGACATTTCCCAAGCCGAGGAGGTCAGCAGAACCCAGCCTTTTTCCACTCTCAAACCGCACTTCCTGTGAAAACAAAAATCCTCCCTGGTTTCGCAGGACCCACCGTCTATACCTTTTTGAAAGACATTTCAACTTGAGTGTCCCCGTTGAAAGTGAACTTGGCAACTGCGTCTCCATATTCCAGGACTTGCACCGGCAGAGTCTTCTTTGGCTGGCATTTTTCCGTGGGGGGGAGTAGCTGAAGAAGACCAAAGGCAGGCAGACGTCAGGACTCTGAACGGCCCCCACCACTCCGACCCACAAGCTGCCTTAATAGAGAAACGAGTACCTCTATATAGGACTGTGGGAAGATGCCCACCCTGCCGTGGTGTTCTCCTTCATACCAGTTCTGGTCGATCTGCTTATAAATGTAAACAACATCCCCTTTCTGCAACGGGAGTTCCCTGTTAATAACATACAGGTCGTACATTAACTGCTTTTGGATTAAGAACTGAAACGTACAATTACGGTCCTCTCCCCAGGGCTTTTGGTCCCATTACACTGATAGCAATTTTCTGGGGAATTCCCTCTGAACTTTTGGCAGCTCTCCCGGGCCTAGCAAGTACCCAGCCAAGAACAGAGGGGAACAGACTGTCCTGAAACAGCCCCTCTTCCACCGGCCTTGAAGGCTTTTCAGGTTAAAGCCGCATCTCAGAGGTGTACCCGGGAAGCGGATGGAGCAAATGCAGGCTTGCTGTTTTACTGCAGGGTGAGGGGAGCTCTCTGGATTCACACTAAACAGCAAGAATGCTGTGCTTTAGTCTGCACATCAATCAGTTATCAAAGAGCTCCTCTCCAATGCCCCCTCTTAAGATGTGGAGTCTTGTGAGGAAAAATTCGACTTTGTGAGCTACTGGCATTAAAGCTGTGAGTGAGCGATTCGGCTACTGCAATACATTAGTAGAAGAAGAAGAAGAAGAAGAGATTGGATGTATACCCCGCCCTTCACTACCCAAAGGTGTCTCAGAGCGGCTTACAAACTCCTTCCCCTTCCCCTCCCCACAACAGACACCCTGGGAGGTGGGTGGGGCGGAGAGAGCTCTGACAGAAACTGCTCTTTTTCAAGGACAGCTCTTATCAGAACTTCGGCTTGCCCAAGGTCACATCAGCAGGTGCAAGTGGAGGAGTGGGGAATCAAACTTGGTTCTCCCAGATTAGAGTTCGCACACTTAACCACTACACCAAACTGGCTCTCTGGAGCCCTCCTTCCTGGGCTGATACAAAAAGGTGTGCGCCGGAGGCTAAAAAAACTGAGAGCTGGCTCACACTGACTCAGCTTAGAGGGAACACTGCTCCTGTCTGATTGTAGCTGTTTCCAAAAAACATTACACAGCCCTCCCAACAGAAGGAAAAGTCACAAAAGGACGATATTCTCATCACCAGAAGCTCCACGTTGCTCCTGAGTAGGAAAAGAACAGTGCTGGGCCTTTCCTCAAGACTGACCCCCACCTTAGAACTCATTGGCACAGAAATGAGTCTGCAACAGACCCCTCTGCCTGCCTGAAAAGGTGGGGTGGGAAGGCTGAACATGGGGGTGAGTCAGGCCTCAGGAAGGGTTTCCCGGGGCCTCCAAGATCTTCTGGACCACTCGGGTGTCTTCTTCCCTCTCATTCTGTGTTTTCAGGGCACCTTCACACGTTACAAACGTAACGGGTGTTCAGCTGACCACTGCGTTCCTTGTAAGGCGCGGGAGACCATTTTTTTCCTTTGCACTTTCAGCAACAGCATATTGCTTCCCCAGCAAATGTCCTCGCAACAGAGGGGCTACATCCTGTACGACACAACAGCACCAACCGTGCTGATTTCTAACTGTCAGGGGCCATTTCCTGCAGGAGCGCACAGGAGCGGAGCTCCGGCAGTAAAGAGCCCAGGGGGCGGGCACATACAACAAGCCCCACCCCCTGCTCCCAGCAGCCCTCAGTCAGAGCAAGAAGCAGCCAGGTAAGTTGCAGAGCTCCCCCCAGTCCAAAACAGTACAGTGGCACCTTTAAGACCAGGTTTTATTCAGGTACGAGCTCTCCCTCCTCTGCGAGGACAGATCTGTGCGTTCCCCCCCCCCCAATAGCTAGCCATCCAAAACAGTCCAGTGGAGCCTGAGCGGTGGGTGTTGCCTTCTGACACCCTTCCGGTGATGTCAGGGGGTGTGGCACATGCAAATAAGTTATGCTAATGAGCTCCTGCACCTCTTTTTCTACGAAATGACCCCTGCTAACAGTTAAACAAAAACCTGGAAAAGCCCCTTGGACAGCAATGCAAAAAGCAAGACCCTGACCACAAGGCTAATCCTGAGAATGGAGCACAGGAATTGGCTGCAGAATGGAGAAGAGTTGGTTTCCCAACTACAGTCTGTCATTTGCACAAATGTGCATGTGTGTGTGTGTGAGAGAGAGAGAGTGTGTGTGCGCATATGTACGCAATGTGAAAGGGATGGTGAAAACAGCCAACAGTTTATACTCACTTTAGTGTCTGAGCTTTGAAGTCAAACTTCGCCCGGGCAGCTCTCATCTGAAAGTTGAAAACAACACTGTTAAAACAACTGCCAAGTTCCCTCCGTAGGGTCTGAAAGGGTATGGAGATTTGTCTCTGCCATCCCATGCCAAGCGCAGACTGGGGGGGAGGGGGCCCCACATACCATTAGGTACTGATTAAGGTGTTCTGTTTTCTTAAACATGTCACTGGAGAGTCTGGGTCTTACGTAAGGAACTAAGGAAGGAAACAACCCCAACTCCCACTTCCTGGTATAAATGGAAACCGAAAGGGTAAGCCCAAGGCTTACAAAGTGGGCTTTCTTTCTGCTCTTCCAGCACTTCAAAACCCAGCAAAAACCAGGTCGGACAAAGACCAGAGTGGGGCAGACAAAGTGGGGGCGGCCAAAGGGAAGGGGGGGGGGGGGGATCTCTCGACAGCATTGCCTCTGTGCCTCTGGCAAAAACCATTTTCAGTCTGTCTCGGGAAGTAGCACAAGGCAGGCCTTGTGGATCGAGGCCCCCAATCCGCTTGGCATAATAGAGACAGCCTCTGGAAAGCCTGCTGCTAACGACAGCCAGCTAGCTGACTCTGACTCACTACGCAGAGGCAGGCAAGGGCAAACCCACCTCCATTGGCCTCTTGCCTTGAAAACCCTACGGGGGGCCGGCATAAGCTGTCTGCAACTTGACAGTGCTTAATTCCGATTAATGGCAACTGCTCCAGTGACAATGAGACCCACTGAATTTAGAATCAACTCCTCTTTTGAGGGAGGGGGCTGCAGGATCGCCCTCCCTCCCACCACCACCCCACCCCCAAGTCTAAGGATGCCCTCTCTGATGGCCAACTGCACACCGGAGCCAAGGGGGCCGCTCCTGTCTCGCTTCTGTTAATGATCGGCTGGAAAGAGACAAAGGAGACGAGGGAGTACAGAGAAACAGGCACTTCTTGTGGCATCTGTACTTCCGAAGGAACATTTGGGAAGGGGTGTGTGTGTCTCAGCCTTTTCCGTGGCTTCGTGGGCTGTGTCCAAGGAAACCTGCACACACCTCCTGCCACAGCCTCCACCGGAGTGCAGAAGACATTCCCCAGTACTGTTCAAACGGTCACTGGTTTTATTGTCCGGTGGGCACACTTCGGAAAGATTTTGGTAGTTTCTCCTGTGATTTAGGGCCCCCAGTTCTTCTGAATTATGACCCCCCCCCCGGGGAAAAACACCTCTCTCCTTTCTCTCTTTCGAAAGAGAATTAAAGCACTGCCAGTTCGTTTTTGCTTCAAACAACCCCTGGAACTTGAAACATGCCGAGATACCATTCCATTTTCTACCTTGACACGAGAAGAAAAGGAGTTGACAAAAGAAAGGAAAAGAGAGAACAGCGCCTATCTAGTTCACCGAGACAGGCACTCACACAGCCAGGACCGACAACAAGACAATGAAGTTTTCTAAGCATCAGGCACAGACAAGGAGAGAACGGAGCGCTATGTGATGCAGAAGATGTAACAGGCGCCCTCTGATTGGCTTGATGTAGCTGATATTTAAAGGCATGCACCGGCAGTCTTTAAGCAGGCATGCTTTATCATATACAGCTCCGGACAGAGATATTAATTCATTTGAACAAGGCCAGAAGTCAAAAAGCAATTTCTAAGTGAAGCCAGAATGGGGGGGGGGGGGGGGGGGAGAGAGAATAAAAACGAAAACCAACACACTTCTTGGGACAGCTAATGTTGGCCTAAAAGCACAATATGCTATGAGAGCGGAGTATGACGTTGGGCCAAGCAGCAGGCTGAGGTGACTAGCACAGACCTCGGACCCAGATTTCCTCTTGGCTGTATCGTCTACATTTAGGAGGTCCCCAAACCGCTCATTAGTGATAAATTGATGGTGCGTAGGAATGACCCCCGTGTGCCTTCTAGCGGCAATATCGGCCTCTTCTTGCTCACGCTTAAGCCGTCTCTGGTCCTCTAAAAGTTTCTGCCATAAAATTGCATAAAATGGGCAGTAAATCATCTAGTTTCCGGCATTTGTAAATTGCCAGCAGATTATTAACAGCAACCAATAAATAAATAGATAGGTAAATACATATTACTCTCCCCAATATATCCCACCAAATATAATGGAAAAGTTCAGAGAAACTGTGTTTTTTTAAATTATTGTTATTATTTTATTAAAGTTATTAATCGCCCAATCCCTGCTACTGCAGGGCTCTGGGCAATGTACAATATGGAAAACAAAACATACACTAGATAAAACAATTAAAACCGAACAGCACATTTTTTAAAACAGATGGCGAACAAATTAATCCCATTTCAGACTGCCGGCCACTTTGTAGGCAGGAGGGCTCTACTGGTAGCAGGAGCTCCTTTGCATATTAGGCCACACACCCCTAGTGTAGCCAATCCTCCAAGAGCTTACAGTAGCCCCAGTAAGAAGAGCTCTGTAAGCTCTTGGAGGATTGGCTACACTAGGGGTGTGTGGCCTAATATGCAAAGGAGCTCCTGCTACCAGTAGAGCCCTGGGTTGAGAGTGTGTGACTGGCTGAAGGCTGCGAGCTTCCATGGCACAAGTGGGGATTCAAACCTGGGTCTCCCATGTCCTAATCTGACCACTATATCAAACTGTCTCAGTTGCCATGGAGGGCCAACAACACCAGTAAATTACTATCTGAAGAGCGCAATGCTCTCCCAGGGGCATGACAGAGGAGATGGTCCCGTAGATACGGGAGTAAACACAAGTCACTTCATGTTGGAGCAGATCACCCACGAAGAACTCCGCAAAAGAGGGCCACAGCAAACCTGGGGTCTTTGTGGTAATGGCCCCTAGCTTGAACAGCCCTTGGAAGAATTAAACTAATGCGTGGAGAGCATCAGATGCCAGGGACTGACCAGGGCCGCTGGCTGGCTGCAGAGGAAACCGGGATACTGGGACAGATGAGACCTTTGGTCTGATTCAGCAGGGCAGCTCTTGTATTGTTCTCCAGACACGCCCCACCGTGAAGGGTGTGCCCAGCTGATTCACTTGCTTCAGCCAACTGTTTGTATAACCAATGTAAAGCTTTAGCAAGGCGTGAGACCGCAGGCTCAAGGTAAACCTTATGATGGGCCACGGTCAGAAAACAACACTGGCCACAGACCAAGCAATCCTAATGCAGGGTGGCCCACTAAAATTTTATTTTTCATCTCCCTGACGTTCCCTGACCAACATTTGTCAACTTCCCCGACCACCATTCAAATATAACCACAAGTTAAAAAATGAATAGGACGTATTGCATTAATGCAAGGTAAGGCTCCACTCGACAACTACACAAGTCTCAAACAGTGTTCCCTCTAAGCTGAGTTAGTGTGAGCTAGCTCACAGTTTTTTAGCCTCCAACTCACGTATTTTTGTCTTAGCTCAGGAAGGATGGGGCTCCAGAGCAAACTAATTTATGCAGTGGCCAAATCGCTCACTCACAACTTTAATGCCAGTAGCTTACAAAGTAGAATTTTTGCTCACAGAACTCCACAGCTTAGAGGGAGCATTGGTCTCAACTGCAAAAATATTTGTCAAAGAGATTTAATGTCAGCTTCTTTCAACATCAACTGCAGCACCATCTGTTTTGCAATGGCACCAAAAATGACACCAAGATGCAAATTTCAATTCAAGGAAACTCTGAATGCTAACAAATGACAGAACATTTTTGTTATTGTTTTAAAGGTACACTAAAAATTATATAAACGCAGGGGTCATTTCCTGCAGGAGCGCACAGGAGCGGAGCTCCGGCAGTAAAGAGCCCAGGGGGTGGGCACATGCAACAAGCCCCGCCCCCCTGCTCCCAGCAGCCCTCAGTCAGAGCAAGAAGCAGCCAGGTAAATTGCAGAGCCGCCGCCCCAGCCTCCCGGTCCAAAACAGTCCAGTGGCACCTTTAAGACCAAGTTTTATTCAGGTACAAGCTCTCCCTCCTCTGCAAGGGCAGATCTGCATCCCCCCCCCAATAGCTAGCAATCCAAAACAGTCCAGTGGAGCCTGAGCGGTGGGTGTTGCCTTCTGACACACTTCTGGTGATGTCAGGGGGTGTGGCATATGCAAATGAGTTATGCTAATGAGCTCCTGCACCTCTTTTTCTACGAAATGACCCCTGTATAAAAGTTCTATCTAAAATGGTTGGGAAAGGGCATCATTGAGTTCTACTTGTATTCTGCTACTTCTCTGTTGCACTTGCCACAAGAACAGATCATACTCTTGCAGCAGCAGGTCACTGCTTGAATCCACTGCTTGAATATACTTTACTCACAATTTCCCTGACTTTCTATGACTTCAGATCAATTTCCCTGACTTTTCCTGACAAATTTTCATTTCCCTGACTTTCCCGCAAGTGGCAACCCTGTAATGTTGAACTGCAAGCAGAAATTGGTTAATTCCTTTTCCCCCCAGACCCTCTAAAGGATGCAAAACGCGCACAAATGTTGGGAGTTTTTCCCAATCGCCCTTGTGTGATGACTCAGTATTTCTGAGCCCATTTTCTCATACAGCTAAACTGAGGCACATCGCAGTAAATTACCTACTTGCTGTCTTCTAGTGCAGGGGCCTTCAGTCTTTCCTAACTCTGAATCCACCTTTAACCCCCAGGAGCCACCAAAGTGCAAGCACGTGACGGGAAGTCACATGACAGCAGAGTCCCATGACGGGAAGAGGAGGAGTCAGCTTGGGGGCGGGGCAGAAGGCCAGGCGAGCCCGGGGCAGGAGGAGGCACCAGCCAAGCGCCAAGGGGAACACCGCGGAGAGAAATGGCACGGGGGACTCTTCTCCAGCCCTTCCGTGGACTTGGCCTGGCGGTCCCGCCACAGCTCTCAGGGTCTGGGTGCAAAGAGAGTGGACCCTGCCCATGAAGCTGGCAGCTGTATCGGGGCTCTGTGAGGCCTACAGACTGAAGGCCACTGTTCCAGCAAGCCTGGGAGCAAGAAAAGGTGGAAATGAGGGCTGGTTAAGTTCTTTCTCAAGGGAAAAGTACAACCAAGCCAAATTTCACCTTCGCGCAACAACTCACTAGTTGCGGTTCCTCTCGTTCTCCTAACTGGAGGGCCTTCTTGACTTGCTCCCTAGTTTTAACAGAGGTCATTTTGGGGGGGATCGCAGTTCCCCCGGGTGAGGTACGGGGGGCGGGGCACATGACGAAGCCCCGCCCCCTGCTTCCGGCGACACACTTCCGGTGATGTCAGGGGGTGTGGCATATGCTAATGAGTTATGCTAATGAGTTCCCCTAGCTCTTTTTCTACGAAACGACCCCTGGTTTTACCTACTACATCAGTTCACCGGTCCATTAGTTCTATGTCTTCCTGGTGTTCCGTATCCATTTCCTGCCCACGTTTTAGTCTTAAATTGGCTACTTTAAAATGCGGAGCAGTTCTTAAGCGGCCTGCGCAAATCAACATCCTACCCTGTTTAAGAGTGGCTTTGCTTCTGGTCCAGCCCCAGCCCCCCAGCCCCCCCCCCCATCTCCTGCACACTCCCAATTTTCTGAGGGGGAAAAAAAAGAAGACAATTATCCTGGATTACCTCTTTATCGTCATGGCGCCTGCGGAGAATTTCTTCCGGACTCTCCATATAATCGAGTGGTGCAAAATGCCTGGGCGATTCTGAATCTACTTGAAAACAACACAGTGTCATTAAACACCAATGGCTTCAAGCAGCAGACCCAGGAAATAAATTGGGGGGGGGGGGGGGCTTTGGTTCTGCCGAGCTTTGGTTCCTGCTGCCCAGAAATTGCACAGAAATGTCAGTCACCCCTGTTTTCCCTCTCATTGGGGGGCTGTCTTTGCCTAAAGGGTGAGGCAAATTAGAGCCAAAGTCGGGAACAACCCTTCCCCCGCCCCACAGGAAGGCTTAAAGAAAAGACTTGTCGTTTACAGAATATGATTTAACACCATACCATTGAGGAAAACTGCATCACTGCATGCAAACACACAAATGCACGCATACACACAAACACACAAAGGCATACACACACACACACACCCCAAGTACCAGAAACACTGTTCCTTAAAAAGACACCCGGGCTCATTCATTTAGTTCCTTGGGATGCAAACGGGAAGGGGTCTATAGGTGGCCTTCGCCAATAATTTCCATCTGTTGCCTCCTGAGAGAAAGGCGGTAGGAACAATGCCTCACAAGCTCAGACATATCCTGAAATGCAAGGCTAAGCAAGACACACCAGGCCGAGAGACACGTGGGGGAAGGCAGAGGGGCAGGGGTTGGGGGCAGAAAAAAACAGAAAGGTACAGCCAAATGGGAGACAGACAGAGAGGAACAGAAAAGTACACAAAAAGGCCACCTCGAAGATAGGTCCTGAGTTCCCTTTGCGGGTTGTTGTTTGGGTCCAAGCTGTGGTATAAAGCGTAAGGAACGACATTCCCGTTATTAAAGGCATCTGGAATGTCCACGAGGGAAACAGAGCTGTTTCGGCCGCTCTCCAGAACTGGGAAGGGGCTCAGGCTTTTGACAATGTCATAAGAAGAGAGGCGCATGGGCGCGAGAGGTTTCTCCGGGGCATGCAGCGCGTGGAAAAGGGGGCTGTCCCTGCCCGCCAGGCTGCCCCGTGACCGAGCCGCCAGTTCATTCTGGCTCTCAGCGTTGCATCCTGCCCAGCCTCCTGGACACTGCAAAGGAAACGTCTTTCTGGAATGGCGCGGCAAGGGCTTTTTCAACCGGAACGGGAGTGGGCTCATGAGGTAAACATTTCTGGGGAGCAGACGCAAGTCGCCGGAAATGTCTCCTCTCCCGTACTGCTGCTGTTCGTGCCTCCGGATGGTGGTGAACCTCGTGTAGGAAGCCGGGCAGGCCCCTTTACACTGGTTTACTTTATACTTCTGAGGCCCGTTGCGGCTGTCTCCGCTGTCATTGGACGTATTCGACAACAGGTCTGTCCGGTCGGTGCAGGCCGAGAGCGTGTCCACGGGAGCCACGTCGCTGAACTCGGATGCCAGGTCCTCCGTATTGCTACAAGACTGGGATGAGGTATCGTCAGTTAGGTGGCCGATATCCTTGTCTTCCAGGCTGGGCTTGGAAAAATCCAGCAAATATTCGGCTGAGCGCGCCGAACTCAGGCAGCTGTTCGAGAGACTGGGAGCCGGGGATTTGCTCCGGGCGCTAGAGAAGTTGAGTGCGGGCATCGACCGGGATCGCTGGATGAGCAGCTCGAAGGCGGTGACACGCGAGGAGACGGTGTGCTTGGGGATCTGCTCCAGGTTCTCCCGGCTGGGGGCAGGCTCCCTCTTGTCCCGCCGCTCCTTCTCAAATTGGGAGGCGAGGTTCCTCACGCTGCAGGACGAAACGGTGCCCAGCTGGATCCCAGAGCGGTTGATCTGGTGCATGTGTTTGTACAGCAGGCTAAACTCGGCCCCGTTCTTCCAGGAGCCAGGAGCGTTCCCTTTCCGGAATCCGGACGAGCCATACTCTTGCAGGCTCTGGGTGCTGCAGGACCTGACCGTGCCCGCTTGCCTGGATTTCATCAGCAAGTTCTCAAAGCTCTCCCCTGCATCTGTCCGGAAGGGTTTCTTGCTGTCAAAGGAGGCAAATGAGTTGCGGAGGTTTTCACAGCTCTGCGTTTTCTCGTGAGGTAAGAGGTTACTTTTCTGGTCCAGCCCAGAAAAAGGTGGAGCGGCCAGCCTGGGTTTGAATTTGGACGGAAGTACTTCGGCAATACAGACTTTTGCGGCTGATAGAGGTTTCTTATGCACGCACGGGCGGCCTAGGGTACTGGCACTGCTAGGGTTAAGGGTACGACTATTAACTGAAGAGGATGCAATCGTATGAGCATTCCCACCTTTACGATCCACTGGAAAGCATGCAGAATAAAATAAACACAACCTGTTAGCTTAAAGTGTGGCAAAGTTCGTGATAAAGGGGAGGTGGTGGGCGGGGAAGGGGGGGGGACGACATGCTTTGGGTTTTGCGCAATGCAATCTCCAGGGAGGCAGTGCTGTTAGCTGCGTTGCTGCAGAATGGGGAAGAGCCTCATTCCAGGAGTGCAAATCCTGAGCCGGCGGGGAATCTTCTGAGGGAGGGCCAGATTGAGTCAGACCTCTAAGGGCAGGCAGCTCCTTGAGGTATCCAGGGAAAAACCAGCCGGCGCCCGCAGCCTGACCGGCTGAGCCCTTGGTGCAAAATCCCCAGACAGGATTCACATTCTTGCAACTTGTTATCCTCCTTGATGGGAACCCACGCAAGCGACGCTTTCATCAGGCTAAGTGGAGGAGCAGCAAACCGCTCCCATCACGGCCGACAGTGGCGTAAGTTTACTTGACTCCCGCGGGAGTCCGAGATCCTGCAGGCTTAAACAGCCCAGAATATCTCCAATTATACGTTTAAAAAAAAATGATGATGGAAAAGAACAGCTCGCCACGGGCGGGCGAGTGCTTCTCTCAACAGGAACACTCGACCTTCCAGAGAATCCCGGAGAATTTGGCTGGGGATTAAAATTCGTCACCTTGTCATGCACAGGGGCTGGCAAGTTGACAGGCCAGCATGCACTGAAGGGGCTTGTGATTTGATGACTGTCTTAATAAATAACGGCCTAAAATAAACCTGTATTCAAACACAACGTTGCTCTCCAATTAACTGAGAATTAGCCGACTCATTCTGCCTAGTGAAGATGTATTTCTAATATTTCATTCCCAATCTCTCAACTGAAGTTGGTTCCATAAAAGACATCATAACTGTTTCACAGTCCACAGTCTATGGGACCAATATGGGCATTTTTTTACATCAGCAAAATGAGGCCTGGAGGAACATGACAGCAATCAATGTACAACTGGGTGGGGAAGCTCCTGTTAGAACCCTAAGACGCTCAGATTCAATTTGTCTAAACGACAAAGGTATTGCTAAATTACAATGGGGAATTTGGAGGAAAAACAGGAACAGAGGCAAGCAATCGATGCCAAATTATTTGCTTTCCAATTCCAGCAATCTGTAAGTTCACATTTCAAGGCTTCTCAAGTGCGGGGCTCAAATTCTTCACCCAGGACAGCAGACACTTTCACAAGTGAACTGCCAGATAACCCCAAAGCACCCGCCTCTGTAACATGCTTCAAATGTTTTAACTTTGGCCGACTGAACACAAGCAACTCAAACAGGCAAATCAGCTAATGACAGGTTTTGCTGTGTATATGATGCTCTGTTAGTATTAGCACCACCACTGCTGCCCCCCCCCCACTCTCTCCCAGAAAGCTGCATGGTACAGAAACAGGAAGCAGGGTCAGCAGACAAATGCGGCACTGGATCGGTTGCCAGCCAAGAAGTATATCGGGAGGCTCATAGGAGAGAGAGGGAGGGGCTGGCCACTGGGAATGGGGGGGGAGGGTGCTGTGGTGGGACCATGAGATTGCTAGAAAGAAAAAGGAGGGGGGAGGAGAGATGAGGGATATCGTGGGAAGGGAGAATGCGCAAGAGAGAGACTAGACTATATATGAAAGAGGGCAGGATGCCGAAGGACAGAAAGCGAACCCCGCCAGCTGTAAGTGAATCTGTCATTCCCCCGTCTCCCACAGTCCCAAGTATATTTGGTCTTGAATCCTGTGGAGATCTGTGTTAATGGCTTTCTTGATCCTCATGTTTACAAAACTCCTGGGCTTAAAACTCCAAAGGTTTGGGATCCACCTTTCCAGATCCCCCAAATGCACTGGAATGAAGGGAGACAGATGTGCGGTGCTAAATGACCAGGATCGTTTCCCTCTGCATTTGGGAAAGGGTCATGTCCAAAACTAATACCTAGGAAGTGCTCGGTTTTCAGTTGTAGGGATTTTTTTTGGGGGCACACAGAAGCATTCAGAAATGTCACCCCCCACCCACAGTGTGAAGGGGGGGCACAGTCTTTGCTATCACCTCTGGGTCTCGTTTTCTTGACACACCTGAGTTTCGGATCTATGTCAGCTTCGTAGTTCCGGAGTGGATATTTCGACCCAACCCCTTTTAAAAATTCAACTGCCACCACCCGGTGGATGAGGAAGCACAAGCCGTACGTTGCTTCAGCTTCGGCCTACCTTTAGTGGAAGCCGAACTGGAGGGCCGCTTGAGACCACACAGTCCCTGCAGGGGGATGTCTCCACCTTCCAAGACGCTCTTGTAAATCTGCCTTTCGTTTTCCAGCCCGGCGGAATCCCCGGGACTCGTTTCCAGCTCTCTCTTGTAGGACTGGTAACTGGGGGAATAGGGTGATCTAGAATCAAGGTGGGGGGGGGGGGAAGAGACGTGCCGGGAAAGAGAATTAATTTTCTTGGCCACGGAAAGGAGTTCTAAAGCAGTCATATCACACCAATGCACCTTTTGGCAGTCCAAGGGACTAATGCAAACCTCTGGAATAACTAAAGTGAGCCTCCTTCCAGAATTGCAAAGAGTTCCATTTCTTTATCCATTTGCTTAAAATATTTATACACAGCTTCTTGGCACTTTGCTTTCAACTCTCGTCCACCTGCCATAAGAACTGTCTGTCACCTCAAGCGTCTACGATCTCAGCTCCTAAGCGGAGTCTACCGGAGTCCAAGTCCTGGTATGGGAGTTCCTCATTTCCCCCTATACTTTACCATAGCTATGCTCAGTGAGGAAGTCGCACTCCATGACTACTACCATTTACAATCATGTCGTCTCTGTTTTTGGTGTACTTAGCAGACAGTACCTACACAGAGCCCTGCCTTGCGTGGCCCAGGCCAGCCTGATCTCATCAATTCTCGGAAGCTAAGCAGGGTCGACCCTGGTTAGTAATTGGATGGGGGACCACCCGGCTATCTCAGGCTAGACCGGGGGCGGCCAAACTTGCTTAACGTAAGATCCACATAGAATAAACGTCAGATGCTTGAGAGCCGCAAGACGTCAACAAATATTACATGGTTTTATTGGAAAATAGGCAAATTTGCTTTTTATTAACATTAAATGAGACTGCCAGAAATAATAACAAAAGGGGTAAAAACAGATATTGACAATGATATTTATCTGTCCGATGATATTTATTTGTTTCTGAATGATATTTAGCTTCCCCAGCCGACCTGCCGGGAGCCGCACGATATGTGTGAAAGAGCCGCATGTGGCTCCCGGGTCACAGTTTGGCCACCCCTGGGCCGCTAGCCCAGTTGCATTAGATCTCGGCAGGACTTTTTTTGTAGAAAAAGTCCAGCAGGAACTCATTAGCATAATAAGCTACACCCAACAGCAGGAACTCATTAGCATATTAGGCCACACCCCTGACAGCGCAGCTCATTGGCATATTAGGCCGCACCCCCATGTTACCAGAAGTGTGCTCATCCAGCCACACCCACCTTTCCCTTCTTATTCTGTTGACCTTGTCTGTTGTCAAAACCCAGGGCCTTTTTTGTAGCAGGAACTCCTTTGCATGTTAGGCCACACACCCCTAATGTAGCCAATCCTAATGAGTTTCTGCTGTTGGGTGTGGCCTATTATGCTAATGCGTTCCTGCTAGGCGTGGCCAACTTGGAAGCCGGCTGGAACTCCGTTCCTGTGCGTTCCTGCTCAAAAATAGCCCTGGATCTCGGAAGCTAAGCGAGGTCAGCCTTGGTTAGTACTTGGATGGGAGACTATCAAAGAACACCAGGGTGCTCCGCAGAGGCAGGCAAGGGCAAGCCACCTCTGCTTGTCTCTTGCCTTGGAAAGCCTGCCACCCAGGGGTCCCCCACGGCGCACACCGGCACCTTTCGTGGTGCCTACCACACGTTTTTGAAAGTGGGCGGGGCAAGGTGGCGCTTTTGGCCGGCAAGGCTTCTGATTGGCCACTTGAGAGTTGATTGGCTGTGCAGATTTTTAAAAAGGTAGTCGGCTGCAGCCCGACGGCACTTTCTACCACTCCTGCCTACCCAAAATCATGAGGGCTGGAACCTCCTCCCCTCCCTCCAGCCTTCCCTTATGCGGGCGGGGTGGCGGGAGCAGAGGGTGTGTTGTTGGTTTTTTGGGTTGCCAACCACCAGGTGGAGCCCAGGAGATCTCCCGCTTGTACAGCCAGGGGTCATTTCCTGCCGGAGCACCCCGGAGTGGCGCTCTGGCAGGAAGGAGCCCAGGCCCCGCCCCCACCCACGGAGACATTCGGGGGGGTGGGATTTAAATGCCTGGGTTCTCTGCCTGATCTTCTCCAGCCAGCCTGCCTTTCCCCCTGAGCTTCTCCGCTTTTGCGGAAAGACTTTTTTTGGGGGGGATTTAAACTGATTTGCATAACTCACTTTAAACACGCCTGCCCTTTGTCAGGGGGTGTGGCCTATGCCAATGAGCTCCTGCACCTCCTTTTCTAGGAAATGACCCCTGTGTACAACTCATCTCCAGGCCGTAATCAGTTCCCCTGGATAACCTGGCTGCTTCGGAGGGTGGGCTCTCGGGCATTGTGCCCACCTGAGGCCCCTCCCCTCTCCATACCTCACCCTCCCCAGGCCCTGCCCTCAGAATCTCCAGGGATTTCTCAACCCGGAGCTGGCAAGCGTAGTCTTTTCCCTGGGCTGTTTTAGCCTCCCAGCCCACCCCTGCAAAGAATTACTGTTCTTCGTGCATCGTTTATTGTATGTATCATACTATTCTCAGCCGCAAGTCTCAGCCAAAAGGCGGATTATCAATGAGGCAAGCCAACAGATACGTCTGTTTTGTGGGAATCATGCAGTCAAAGCCACAAAGAATCCTCCAGCTGTGTTTTTGGTACCCACAACTGTCTTCTCTGGATTACGGCCCGGATTACGACGCCCACGTAAATCTACAGATTCTAACCATACATGGAGGCAAAACGGAGGCAAAATCTACTGGGCAACTGGATCGGATTTGAAAGCTTACAAGGTCAAACATGTAAAATTAATAGAACAGCTGGAGTCTCCTTCCTTGAGCTCTTCCTATACAAAGAGATCAAATGCCTCTGAACCACCGTTCCCTCTACGCTGAGCTAGTGTGAGCTAGCTCAGATTTCTTTAGCCTCCGGCTCACACATTTCTGTCTTGGCTCAGGAAGGTTGGCTCCAGAGAAAACTAATTTATGCAGCAGCCAAATCGCTCGCTCACAACTTCAACACCAAACTTCACAGCTTAGAGGGAGCACCCTGTTTGAGGCAGAACCCAGGAGTCCAACATTTGGCGTAGATTAAAATGGAATATTAGACACAGGGGTCATTTCCTGCAGGAGCGCACCGGAGCGGAGCACCAGCAGTAAAGAGCCCAGGGGGCGGGCACACGCAACAAGCCCCGCCCCCTGCTCCCAGCAGCCCTCAGTCAGAGCAAGAAGCAGCCAGGTAAGTTGCAGAGCTCCCCCTGGCCCCCTGGCCCAAAACAGTCCAGTGGCACCTTTGAGACCAAGTTTTATTCAGGTACAAGCTCTCTCTCCTCTGCAAGGACAGATCTGCACGTTCCCCCCCCCCCAAATAGCTAGCAATCCAAAACAGTCCAGTGGAGCCTGAGTGGTGGGTGTTGCCTTCTGACACACTTTCGGTGATGTCAGGGGGTGTGGCATATGCAAATAAGTTATGCCAATGAGCTCCTGCACCTCTTTTTCTACGAAATGACCCCTGATTAGACATTGGAGCTAACAATACCCCTCCCCCTCTTCCTGCAGAGTTGTCACATCACACTAGTAAGTCGCTTTAACGGACGCGAGCAGAGGGTGTGTCTCGAGGAATTACTCCCCCCTTTCCAAACAGACCAGTCCACTGTGCAGCGAGTGTGAACGCAGCTCACTGAAGGTGCAGTGCGTTACATTTCTTTCTAGGCACGAGAGTAAAAATAAAAGGAGGATAAAATTCAGCTTTGCCGTTTGACTGCTGCCCATACAGAGCGACACGTTATCGCTCTTCGGGCTGAAATATGACTTTGTCAGTTTTCGAATTGATCCCAACAACGTCTTAAGGAGCCCAACGCACTTCAGCTATGGTCCTCTGCAGCAGCGGCAGCGGCCGAAAGACAGGCTTCCTTTGGATTCTCCCTTTCCTCTGCCTCCCTGCCATCTGCAGAGGCCGTGACGCCGGAGCAGGCACAAGCAGACTTACCCCCCCCCCAGGACCCTTAAAGCCCCACGGGTGCCATCTCCGCCAGGCTTAACCACCCAGCAACCCTGAACCCAAACACCAAAGAACAGCTCTGAAAACTTACTGGGGTGGATGGTCGGGAAACGTTTCCAGTGGAGTCGAGCCTGCTGCACTCTGCAAGAGTCCAAACAAAGAAGTCATTGAGAGGCGCATTTCCTTGCGGAACAAAAGACAAAAAGATCGCTGGAGTGTTTCCCCCGTCTTTAGCTCAAGCCCCGGCCGTGGCATGCACTGGTCCTGGCGCCAATGTCTCAAGAGGAGTGACCGTTTCAGGGGCTCCTTTGCAAGAAGCACAAGGTTTTGGCACAGCCCATGCGGCTCTATGGCAACTATGCTTTTGTCTATGAATGGCTCCATGCAAAGAAACCCCAAACTTTAAAAGAAAAGCCGCTGGTAGGGTTGCCAGCCTCCAGGTGGGGCCTGAAGATCTCCTGGAATCAGAACTGGATTCCAGACAACTTTCACTGGCGAAAAAGCAGCTTTGGAAGGGGGTCTCTACGACGTAATACCCCACTGAGGTCCCTTCCTTCCCCCAGACAACAACCTCCCCTAGGCTCCGCCCCTGAATCCCCAGGAATCTCCCAACTCGAAATTGGCAGCCCCACCTGCGGAAGAGCAAGATGCTCAAAATGAAGCTTCCCCTTTTCCTTCTGCCCAGCCACCCTTCCAAAGATTATGTGCCTCTACCACAGGGCATCCCTGGGGTTTAGGGACAGGGCTATTTTCGGGCAGGAACGCACAGGAACGGAGTTCCGGCTGGCTCCTGAGTTGGCCACGCCCAGCAGGGACTCATTAGCATAATAGGCCACACCCAACAGCAGAAACTCATTAGGATTGGCTACATTAGGGGTGTGTGGCCTAACATGCAAAGGAGTTCCTGCTACAAAAAAAGGCCCTGGGTTTGGACCACAAACAAGGTCAACAGAATAACAAGCAAAAGGTGGGTGTGGCTGGATGACCACACTTCTGGTAACATGGGGGTGTGGTCCAATATGCTAATGAGTTCCTGCTGTTGGGTGTGGCCTATTATGCTAATGAGTTCCTGCTGGGCTTTTTCTACAAAAAGAGCCCTGTTTAGAGACATATCCACCAAGAGTCTCGCAGGGAACGTCTGGGTGCCGGGGGTTTCCTTGGCTGCAGCACCAGCCAGCCCAGCCTCACCGCCGAGTTCCGTAGTCTGCAGCAGCTAGAAGAGAACGTCTGTGAATCTACAGCGGCCTCTCCTTCCTACCCATTTTGTGCAAAAGTAAAACGGGTCTATCCAAACAGCCACTTCTGCACGCTGCAGAGTTTTCCTCTGGCATTTTCAAAAACGGGGGGGGGGGGGAATTTTTAAAGAGTAAGCCAGAGGACTCAAGGAGCAAATCCTCTTGCTGTTGTTTTGACAAACCGTGCAGATCAGGAGCCAATGAGGGCAAGAAGGAATCCCCCAAATTTTAGGGGTGTGTGGTGGGCTCCGCTACGGAGATGGGACACTTTCAGGAACAAAACCTGCTGCCTCCCACCCCCAGGGAAGAGCCAGGATGACGGGTGCCAAGCAAGAGTCCTGGAGCCTACTCGTGTGCAAAGCTGCAAAGGGGCTTTTGTGCTTTCTGTACCCAGAGCACTCTGAGCCAGCTCACTAGATTCCCACTCTGTTAGTCCCGAGAGCGGCAAGGCTAGCCGAGCGAGCGGTGGAAACAGCCCCGTCCCTTCCCACAGCCTGGGCTCATAAGCATCCGCCAGCAGATTACGGCAGGAAGAGGAAAGAGAAGGAATTGGCAGCAGGAAACGAAAGAGGAAGTACCTTCAGCGGCTTTCTATCGGACACTTTATAAAGCTTCTCCATCTTTTCTATATCTGCCTCTAACTCAGTCTGGTAGAGGTAGAGGTCTTTTTCTAGATCAGTCTGGTTAAAGAAGGAAGAGGAGGAAGAGGAAAACAATGCTTAGGGTTAGAGGAAACAGAGAAAGGTTAATTCTGAAGAGAAGAAAAAACACAACAGAGCCTTTTGTTCTTCAAGACAGTATTCCGTTCCTTTCAATGCTCAAAAAAAAAAAATCTATAGATTCCTTCAGGTTTAGATTCACTGCAGAGCATGTTAGGATCTTTGTGTTAAAGCCACAAACATCGTCTTTTAAAAATCACCGGAAAAGGCAGGCACATCAGTAGTACCGCTTGTAAACACTCATTAATACAGTTAGCCCCGAGCGCAAAGAAGCTGCCGCGACTGGACACGCATCACGCTTTCCAAAAGATGGTTTTAGGTCTCTTTACAGCCCACGTCAATGTCTAAGGGGGCAGAAAGCAGATTCCAAGTCAAAGTACCACTCGCGCCCTTCGACTCTACACACGGCTGGAGACCGCAAGCTGACACCACACACTCACACACACATAACCATAGTACAACATATGTTTGAATTACCTTTCTATCCTCTCTAGTAAGGATAGAGCAATCTCCAGGAGTATAATCCCAAATCTTTTTTGGAGGCTGATGAAAAGCAGAGGAGGAAATGAGGAAATGAAGATAAGGAAAGACATCACAGAGAATATGGAAACTGGATTAGAACAGAGGGGGAAATACATTCAGGGGAAACTGCATCACCATCAGAAATAAAATTAAAGGAGGAAAGGAAAGGGGGGGAGAACCTGCTATAGCACAAACAGAGGAGCCCAGGGGGGAGGCAAGGGGGGAGGGCATGCACTCTTTTGGCGGGACGGCTTCCCATTTCGCTTTCGGGGGCCCGCTGCTCCGTACCGGAACATTCGGGAGGTAAAAGCATTCAGAACACAATCGGTTTTTAAAGTAAACGAACCGAAGCAAATCAATGTTTAAACAAATCTTTGACTCATCCGCCCTCTCAAAAAGAAAGGGTAGGGCACAGGTTTCAGAAAATAAAAGTAAACTGCGGTTTTGTCTTTTTCTCCAAATCCCCCGGTTCTTTCCGAGGCCTTGAATACATACCATGTTCACATAGGGCTGGGTTCCCAGAGTCGGCAGTGTGGGGCAATGAAAATGCAGCGTTATTCATTTCGCCACTGGGGCTAGTTACTGAGCTTCCAAGGGGACAGAAGGTGGGATTAACTCGGGGAGGCTGACTTAGAACCCAGGAAAGACCGAGCCGGGGCAAAGCCGGCTCGAGATTTGGGTGTTGCTTCACCGGTCCCTGCCTGGTAAGAGCGGCAACTGGCGAGGAGAAATGTTAGCTGCAAATCGAAAAGTGCCCGAGGGACTCAAGCACCTTCTTCCTTCTCTACATGGTCTTCTTCTATGGGAATGCTTGACTGCAGCCTGGCAGTAAACCAGTGTGAATCAGGGGGGACCTCTGCAGTCCCAGCATAAAACAGTGCATAAAAGGAACGTGAAATCAGAAAGTGTGTACGGAACAGCCGCCACCTGCCTGCTGAAGGAGGGGCTGCAGTGAAGGTCTCTGCCACAGAGCAGGGAGCTCCCTGGGGGCCGCGCCCCCCCATCCACTGCTCTGACTATGCGTCCTTTCACACACGCCGAATAAGGTACTTTCAGAGCACTTTGCAGCCGGGTTCGGCTACGAGAAACGGCAAGATCCACTTGCAAATGATCTCTAAAGTGGACTGAGCGTGCTTCGTTCAGTTTGTGCGAAAGTATGAAAGAAACAGCGTGTTGTCGTTGTTCTTTTTAGAAAAAGGGGAGCGGTGGCACAGTGGGTATATCCCACTGTCTTGACATCTCAACGGTGTCAGTTCGAGCCCCGCGCTGGTGTGAGCGGCCAGCCTGTCGTCCCCAGCTCATCGTCCACCCAGCGATTCGAAAGCCTCGGCGAGGAGATAAAATGGGAACCACTCCTTAGAGAGGGTGGGCAC